TGTCCCTCTCTGGTCAAATTAAAATAAATAAATAAATAAATAAAGTTCAATAAAATAATTCTTAAAAAAAAAAGTTAGCCGCAACTTAGCAGGGGCCAGGGCAAGTGCTGGGGCACACTGAGCCCCAACTTCTCAGAGAGGCGAGATAACAGCGAGAAGTCTCCTGGGAGGCAGGCAACGACAGGGCCGGGCCACAGGCCTGTTCAGAGTGCCACGCTGCCAATGCCTCTTACACAGCGCTGCAGTCTGCCGGCACCTTGCATTAAAGGGGACACGCACAGCAAGGCGAGGACCCGTGGTGACAGAGGTATTCCAAAACTCGGGGTCACTCAGTGGGGCCCAGGGCTGCGACTCTCTGATGAGCTGCCCATGTGGGTGGGGGCGGGGAAGCGGTCATGCTTCCGGCCGTGAACCTTCTGTCCCTGATGGGGCTTCTCTCGGCAGATCACCACGTACCAGCAGGACATGCAGAGCACGTGACCTTCCCCCATCCCCGTGATAAAGTAACTGGGCCAATGAGAGAAATGTGCACGCCGATCAGGGCTCGGGGAATCCTGAGCAGTCAGCAGCCTCGGGGATTAGGGGAGCCGGCCGAATGAGCGATCTGGCAGCTGGCTGGTTTGCCCATTTAGCACACGCTGTAAAATAAAGGTGGTGCAGTGCAGCCTGCCGGTGCGGGTTAGAACTCACTGCTGTCAGCCACGCTTTCTCCCAAGATCAGCTTCAACTGGACGTGGCTGTCCACCTGTGCACCGCCACAGGCCTCAGAAAGAACAGGACCGCCACACTGCGGGGCTCAGGGCTGCGTGAGACCAGGGCCCTAGACAGAGCTCCAGACTGCTGTGGGTGAGTCACACGGCACCCCTAGAGGAGCTCAGAAAGGCCCAGTCACACGGCTAAACGTGTCGGAGGACGGGGTCGGGGCAAGTCTCCCCAGGATGGTACACCCGCGCAGGCCCGTGGTGCAGCCAGCCCAGGGTGTGGGCTCTGCCTGTGGTCACAACGCCCGAGAAACTCGTGCAAGTGGGCGATGAGCTGCCCCTGCAGTGCGTGTTACTTAAAGGCTTCCGTGTGGTTTTTCTTTTATTTTATTTCCTTAAGATGTTTGCTCAAGGATGGTGTGGTGCTTACGGTGCTGGACTCCCACATAGCCTAAGATGGTTTGAGTCCCGGACCTGGCAGCTTGCTTTCTCACTTTCCATCTCTGTCTCTGTCTCTCTCTGGTCAAATTAAAATGATAATAATGATGATGAGTAAAATTAAACAAATCACATTTAAGAAAAGACACCTGCTCGATGGGTAGGGCGAATGACAAGCTGCTGTGGTCACCGCTGTAGAGGAGGGTGCTCCCCACCTGCAGGTCTAGATGCACCAGCAGCGCACAGAGACTACAGCAGTCTCTCCCTCAGCCCGCTCTGTCTGCGGGGCAAGTCTGCACCTGGCCTCTTGGCCCACACTCCATCGTCGCGGCGTGGCCTGGCCTAAGTGGCCCATAGCCACCAACTGAGGGCACCGCAAGCCCAGAGGATCAGTCCTTGCGACCCTAGGAGGCTGCCAGACTCCCTGGAGACAACATGGCCAGCGCCTGGGCACTCGTGCAGACGCCCTGCAGGGTCCTGACTCAGAATCGCCATGAGCACTCTGCTGGTTCACTCTCGCCCTCTGCTCCATGGGCCCCACCCAGTGCCCGCCCTGCCCAAAATGCCAGTCTGACAATTCCTGTTCCAAAGAGCTCCTCCTCTCCCAGAGTACACGCAGGGACTCGTCTGCCTGGCGCTGACAACCCTCCGTGCTCAAATGAACCCTAACCTTATGCTTTCTAGAATGGCAGTCACACCAACGCCTATAACGGCTGCCCGTTACCGCGCAAAAAACACCAGGGGGAGA